AAGGAATCCCAATGCTTCTCTGTAGAGAAGTACAGGATTGGCTAATGATCTCTGTGATGGTTGGAAAGGTGGCGGTGGTGAGAAGTTGGAGTGGTTAATCTATTTACGCCCACAGGAGTGCTAAATCTGTCTTGTACCCAGGAGTCACCAAATTTTGGCTCACCCCTCACAACTTCAATCTCTGCAAACAGAGGCGTAACTAGAAACTACAGGGTCCCGGTGTGAAAATTGCCCTGGCCTCCTCCCCCCATACATCTTACCTCCCCCCTCCATTTGTATAATATAACAGATACATACAAGGACACAAGTGCGGATACACAGACACACATACAGAGAGATGCACATTTAGACAAATGCAGAAACACATACACAGAATGACACACATACAGATACATAGGGGCGCACACTGACACACATTCAGAAAGATACATATACAGATACCCATACAGACAAACAGATACACATACAGACTCACATGCAGACAAACAGATACACAGACAAAGATACACATACAGACACACAAACACACACGCAGCCGCTCATACACAGACATTCACACACACACATACAGACACAGATATACAGATACATACATTCACACATACAGACACACAGATACAGACATTAACACACATACACACACAGATTTACAGATACAGACAAACATTCTCAAGCACACACATACATAAAGACACTGTCTGCAACACTTGACATACACTTGAGCCAGGACAAGTTTCTATTTTGTTTAGTCCAAAATGTTAAAATCTTTGCAATGCACAAGCATGCTGATGCTCAGATGTGCACTTTTTAGAACATTATAACTCACTTTTATGGGGTGATGTGTAAGTATAGATTTTAACATTTTGGACATACACAGAATGACACACATACAGATACATAGGGGCGCACACTGACACACATTCAGAAAGATACACATACAGATACCCATACAGACAAACAGATACACATACAGACTCACATGCAGACAAACAGATACACAGACAAAGATACACATACAGACACACAAAGTACTAGAAGAATATGACTCACATTGCTCAAAAGGTTTATGAAAAATAAAATATGCTATTGTGTAGATATACTTATTGCTGAGCACAGTGAGTACATGGTTCACCCCCCAAAAAATCCCTTTCTACCACATTTTCTGGTCTCCTTTATATCTTCCCCACCCTCTTAGACTGTTCAAAGTCTAAAAGTACCCTGTATATTGTAATGGCACAGGTGAGCAAAAACATTTTTTTTATAAATTGGCCCCAGTAGCACCCTTATAATGTATACATGTTAAGGTGAGTGCAGCCCTCTTGGTTTTATATAGTTATTTATATATAAATCGTAACTTAATACTTAGCAGTTTAAGTTTCAGAATATGGTGGTGATATATAAAAAATAATAATAATAGTAAAAAAACATCCATAAGCAATGGATCGCTATTACACCATTGTTACAAACAATAAAGCATAACAGTAGCACCGTCCAACATGTAGCCCATGGGCCACAGATGGCCCACATGGTGTCTATTTTCAGTCCACTGCCACCTGCAAACCTACTGTTTTATTTTCAAATACATTATAATAATAACATACATTTATTTTAGTATTTGGTTCCACCCATGTAATTGCAGGTGGCACAGAGAAATGGAGTATAAAGTACTAGATCTGTCCCTCTTTCTACAGCCATGTCATTCTTTCCTGCAAACTAAGGCAGGAACTAAGTAAGATCCACCACTAGAACTAAAGGAGATGGAGACTGATCTTCATTCCACCACCCCCGCTGAAAGAGAAGCAGCATATAGGAATGACAATGAATGGGGTGGACATTTGATCATACTTGAAATGGAGATGTGGTGAGGAGATGAAAAGGTGTAAAAAAAATAAAATAAAAAAATTGTATTTTACACTCTAATACAGGGGATGGCAACCTTTGGCATTCAAGCTTCCGTGGACTACATGTCCCATAATGCTCTTAAAACCAAAAAGCTAACAAAGTTTCAGGGGAGATCCAGAATACTAAATATTGCTAGCCTTGACCTAAAACGTACTAGATTTGTTCTAAGAAAAAACTAGCATTAATTATAGTGTTGTTGCTATAATTAAATATATATATATATATATAACATAAGCACATCACTTGATTTAAGGGTCATTGGAACATGATTGGAACATGCTTTTTATAATGAATTGAGGATGAATAATGGATTTGATAACAATATAGAAGGAAAGCCATTTGCCATCAAACTATATAGGTATAAGCCGACACAGAGGATTAGAAAATCACAGAGAACATGAAAAAGATGCATTAAGTAAATTGTGGTATATTGTCATCCTCCCAACCTTTTCATTCAATAATTGACACATTGCTTATCTTTTCCAGTAAGTAACATTCTCATTGATGACTTGCACATTCTGAAGTGAAAACTATTGTATCGAACTACCTAATAAGTAACTGTGGAAATATTTTCAATTAAGAAAACAACATATTTTCTGAAATCATTTTGTAACTTGTACATACATTGATTTATTTGCATCTAACACACAGTGGATTGTTCCTGTACAATAACTATTTGTTGGACTAGAAAGTATATTTTGTTGGTATTACAATAAAGAACGGTTTAGATTATATAAGTGATTTTTAAAATAAAAAAAAAACAATTACTTGCAATAATCCCAATAGTAAAACTACTATTAAAATTCTAAAAATAAATGTAGCTTTGATGTGAAGAGAAACATGACATTTTATATAAAAAAAAAAGAAAATACATGTTGCAATTAAAATTAAATTGAGTTACACAAATATGAAAATATTTACTAAAATATCAATACTAATTATACATGATAACTATTGTGGGCACAAAGTTGCATATGTAATAATAAAATACCTACTAAAAGACAAATCATTATCTTTTAAGAGAAAGATACAAAGCAGATTATGTAGTTATATTTTTCTTATATATATTTATGAAGAAAAACAGGAAAGAGAAATGCAGCTAAATCTAGCACCGTATAGAAGCTATTTCCACAACATGAATTGTTTTATACAATATTTTTAAATGTACCTAAAGAAATATTTTTGAAAAGCCAAATTTTTGTCTTGCCGTTGCATAATAAGTATAAATTAGAAAAGTCAAATTGCACCAACTAACATAACGAAATAGTCATCTCGAGGCAAAATCTTCAATGTGGTTGTCCAATAAGGTAAATCAGTAGACACCCTGCCTAGAATGGTTCAAGTTGTATGACTTGAAAAATACATTTAAAACAGGTCTATTAATTCACTAATTTACTAAGTACCAGCTTCTGAAATCAAGCCAAGTCAGTGGTTAAGGACTGCAGGTTGTGTGCAATCTTGAACTACTGTATTGTGAACAACTGTATTGTGTTGTTTTCCCCCCAATGGTGTGTAACAATGAATAGTCAAGTGCTAGACAGATAGAAGAGGCATTTTGAAAATTCACAGAGCTACATGTTGCAACCAACTTTTCTTGAAAACACAGTACTGATCAAACTAGAAAACATATTCAAATTTATTATAACTTGAGTTTTCAAACTTATTTTCCTACATTTATTTAAACAACGCGCAATACTATGTGTATTTAAAATCTCAAATGTACATTGTTAAATCATTGTAAAATAATGTGTTTAAAGAATTATTAAAGCAGTTTATTTTAATGCAGAGATCTGTTACCAAATGTTAGGCTTTTCTCATAAAAGAAAATGCAATTTTCGCCAAGGAAATCAAATAGTGTTATCTCCCATTGGCCCTTTCGAGTCTGCATGATTAATGTCAGAATGGCTGTCAAATCACAACGCATAAATTAAATTTGATGAGAAATAGTTAAATTCTATTAAAATGGGTACAAGAATGACAGATTTTTTTTTAAAGCAACTCCAAGTCACAGGATTTGTGCATAGGAAATCCTACATGATGAAAAAACGTAAGATTGTCTTGCTTGTATTTGGCACAGATGAGAGCCCTCAAAATAGGCAGTTACAATTGTGTGGATTTATGTCACACAAAAAAACAAACAAAAAAAAACAGCTGCCATACAAAAAATTGTTTTAATTAAAATGACTATCCCAAATATTTACATGTCTTGTTTCTATAGACTAAGCATTAAGAATATATACAGTTTGCCTTTCCATTCATACAAATTGTTTTATTTGTGTTTACGTGAGTTTTTGTTTAACACATTTTCTTTTCCAATAGTTATTGCTCCTTTTGAGCAATTTGTGATGACACTATTGTATAAAGGAACCTAAATATATTGAATGTAGAAAGGCTTCCCTCTGCCTCTGGATCACTTAATAACTGGATTGAGTCATAACCAGTAAAAAAGATGGCAACATATTAAAGGCAAGTAAAACAAAATCAAATAAAGAGTCCAATATGTATTCTACTGACAAATGTGCAGCTTATAAAGCCACTATTAGAGGCTAAAAATCAATACCACAGTTGGATGGAATAGAGCACCAGTGTTGTTGGGATCATCATCACTGTAAGCACGGAATAAGGAAAGAGCTGAAATTAAAGGTCAGATATCTGAACCCGAGTAATGCACTCATCTAACCAGAGCCATACAAATTCACAACAAATACATAACAATAAATGCAGTTTCTTCACAGTATAATGTTTCAATAGAATGTCAATGTAAAAAGAACAAAACATGGAGACATATAGGTCAAGTGACGTAAAGGATTAAATACAGTACAAGCCATTGGGAGTTCATATGTTCCCGGAGTCAGTGAGGGAGTGTAAAACGAGTGCTTCAATTATGTAAACAAGCATCGTTAGTTAAATATAGGTAATTACAGAGTTACAAACTAGCTAAAATGTGCAGATGCAGCAACATATTTAGAATATAAATGTGCTTACATTTCAATGCAGAAGAGCAGAATAATCCCATTATGTAGAAACACAATACAGAAATGTATGATATTAAGGCACAGGTTGCACAAAAATTATATATATATTCATTGAAAGGGTGAGGGCCACTATACCTGTGTGTGTATATATATATATATATATATATATATATATATATATATATATATATATATATATACATACATATATATATATACACACACACACACACACACACACACAGGTATAGTGGCCCTCACCCTTTCAATGAATTAGTAAAAGACTGCCTTGGTGCAATCCCACGCTGGAGGAAGACCTGAAGAGGTCGAAACGTCGATCAGATGTATGTTACCTGTTATTAAATAATATCGAGTTTTTTTACAAAGACCTGAGAGTGCATCTCTTTCCTTTTTGCTTTATATATATATATATATATATATATATATATATATATATATATATATATATATATATATATAAAAACCAAGAGGGCTGAACTCACCTTAACATGCATATATTATAGGGTGCTGCTGGGGCCAATTCATCCAACATACAAGATCCAGCGCACTCGCTCATTCACTAAACAGCAATTTCAAGGCTCACAGAATGTAATAGTTTTATTTAAAATCTAGAGTAGGACCTGCCAAGAATGGGGTACATTGATGTTGTGGCAGACTTATGCAACGTATGATCATATACTGTAACTAAACCCCCATTATTTTTTCCTAGGTGAGGTATTTTTAAATAAAACTATTACATTCTGTGAGCCTTGAAACTGCTGTATAGTGAATGAGTGAATGCGCTGGATCTTCTATGTTAGATATATAAATATATATAGATAATTTACACATAGCCATTCTAACTCTGTATACTAGACATGTGTAATTCTTCTGAATGTCCAAGTGCCGAATTTCGGAAGTGCCGTAGTGCTTCGGATTTCTAAAAAGTGGCAGAAACAGGGAGGGAAAATTACATGAATTATGACGGGGTAGGGTTAGGGGTAGGCGTTAGGCGTTAGGGAGCCCTACAGATGTTCCGAATTCCAAAGTTCCGGATTGCCGAAGTTCCAAATTGCCGAAGTCCCGAATTTCGGTAGAACCAAACTGAAGTGCCGAATTGCCGATTTTTTTTTCTAACCCAAGTTTCCGAACCAAACCAAATTTTTGCCCATGCACATCCCTACTGTATATATGTAATACTGCACATTGCACTTTAAACACCTTCTCTTTGCATATTGTTATTGCAAAAGTTACCCTTCGTATTGTCAATGTCAATTCTGTCCATGTTTGTATAGTATTCCCTGGTTGATAACATCAGCTGACACACTTCACAGCAAATCAGCTGATACACTTAACCAATGAGCAGCATCCAAAAAGTGACACAGAACTAAGGGGCATTATCAGTCATTCAACACCATAACCACTACAGTGGGCTATAGCAGTTATGATGCTGACAGATTTAGCTGCATCCAGAGAGAAAGATAAAACTGGAGTGTATTCACTAAACTATAGTGTACTATTACTCTGAATTTGCAACAGTTAGGACTAAATTGCTGGTTTGGAAATAATCTCCACCTCATATTTTTCCCAACATAGCTATTTTGATCTATGTTTTGCAAATCTGATTTACAATCAATCACATTCAACTGATGAATACCCCAAGGATCCCAAGTTACTGATTTTCAGGAAGCAAGTGAGTTCTAAACACATTCAGCTTAGTTTAATCCAAGTGTCTGCATTTAAACTTGGGATAGTGGAGAAATGAGAAGAGAACTCCATATCACATTTATCAAGTGGTAATTACTGTCTGCCGCAGGTTTTAACATCTCTCATTAACAAGCGTCAATCAACATTAGTCACCGCCTAATTTCCTTGGTGGCAATAAATTACACCTGCTTCACATAAGTGTAAAAAAACAAGCTTACATTCTTGGGAAATCTATGCAGGTCAGGTCTATGCTGCAACTTTTTCACACCCTCACATGTGATGATGTGCGCATGAACTGAGCAAACCTTTTATAGTTCCTGGTGCAGTTGCTATGGCAGTGAATTGGAAAATGCACCTTCTCCTGACATATATCCACGTTACAAAATGGTTAAAGCTAAGTGGTGGACAGCATCAGTGGAGCAGGACGTGAGTAACGTGGATGTTAAAAGCAGGAATTGACCATCTAAACCATTTGGTAAAATGGAACCATAATTGCTTAGCAGCTGACAGTACTTCTAGCAATTAACGGCTGTATTCCTGACAGGAACTTGGACACAAGCCCTATGTTTTTAAAATGTTACATTCATTTTGACATAAGAATGTTCTTTACTTTCTACACCCACTATAAACTAAATAAAATTATGGCAAGTTGAGATTCAACAGATTCACTGGCATGAAGCAATGCAATTGACCTAGATAACACTCAGGTAATGCATCATCATTAGCAAACAACAGCAGAGAGAATGTGGAGGAGAGAATTCTGGAATTAGGAATAATTTATGGAGATAAAACATTAAAGGACCACTATAGGCACCCAAACCACTTCAGCTTAATGAAGTGGTCTGGATGCCAGGTCCAGCTAGGATTAACTCCTTTTTCTATAAACATAGCAGTTTCAGTTACCTATGGGTTAATCCAGCCTCTAATCAGTTACCTATGGGTTAATACAACATAGCAGTTTCAGTTACCTATGGGTTAATCCAGCCTCTAGTGGCTGTCTCATTGACAGCCGCTAGAGGTGCTTCCGCACTTCTCACTGTGATTTTCACAGTGAGAAGACGCCAGCGTCCATAGGAAAGCATTGTGAATGCTTTCCTATGGACTGGCTGAATGCATGTACGGCTCCTACCGCGCATGCGCATTCAGACAATGACATTGTTATGAAGGAGGAGAGTTCCCCTCCCGGTAAGTTTAACCCCTTCCACCCCCTAGAGCCTGGCGGGAGAGGGACCCTGAAGGTGGGGGCACCCTCAGGGCACTATAGTGCCAGGAAAACAAGTATGTTTTCCTGGCACTATAGTGGTCCTTTAACAGCGGGAACACAAGTTCAAAACCTGTACATTTCTTTCTGCCTATATATACACCACTTCTTAAAAAAGTTTTACTATATCTGATTATGACAAAAACAACATAGATACCTTAATGCTTCACTTATAATTTTCTGTAACCTAAATTTATGCCATGTTACTTCTTGTAATGACATTAAACACCAAAGATATAGCATTGTTTTTTGAACTGAAATGAAATTCTGAAAAAAATTGGAAGTTTGAAAATTTTGAAATGATATTTAGGCACCATTATTTCCATTATACCAAACAATATCAAATTAGGGAGCTGTTCAGCATATACCAAAAAGATAGTGAAAATATGGTATAAAGTGCAGTGAATAAGTGTCTTCTCACCTTTTTAGGAGCCTAGACCTGGCACCTGGTGTATGGGTAAGTGTGCCTTTAAGGGGGCAACAACACTTCTTTAGATAGCAGATGATGGGAGATATTAACTTTTTGATTTGTTTAATTTGTTAATTTATTTAATAAATTGTTATTCGACCTTCCATCACCTGCTGTCTAAAGAAGGGTTGTTGCCCCCTTAAAGGCACACTTACCCATACACCAAGTGCCAGGTCTAGGCTCCTAAAAAGACGAGAAGCCACTTATTCACTGCACTTTATACAATATTTTGTGGGATTTACTACAATAGAAGCTACTTTGCTTCCCCTGTTTCCCTACCTTTTTCTCTTACATATGGGGATTATCTGAGTGAGAAAAGATACAGTATCACCTTAGTACACATAGAAGTGATCTGAGCCTATCCCAAGTGGCTCTTTTCCATGTGAGTGTGACCATTGGGATTACTCACTCCACATTGCTCCACTACTTTATTGCACTATATTGGTTTTCTGTTTTACAGTTGTCAAAACCATACTGCATCTTTTGAGCTCTGAATTATGTATTAACCCTTAGGGGTAAGTGATTATAAATTATCTAAGCGCTCCACAATCACAACTAGTGGTGAATTATATGTATATATATTTTCTTTCCACTTAATTTGTATATCTGGCATTTTAGCATTCAGCTCCTTAATTTGGTACCCTTAAAAATGGTAATCCATATTAGGGTGCCAAATTAGGGAGTTATCTAGTATACACAGCTGAAAGATCAATTTTAATAAAAGGACTATTTTTCTTAATGTGATCCTTAAGTTTAAAAAACTCCGTAATTTGCCATCCTTGTGTTGTGTTGCCAAATTTAGGAATATTAAATTTGAGAGCTATCTAATTTGGTACCCTTTGGTAACCTTAAATAAGGGCACCAAATTAGAGAACTATCTACTAAACAGCTCCATAATTTGGTATCCTTAAATATGACAATCCCACATAAGGATCCCAAATTAGGGAACTGCTGTGTTTAGTAATTTGATGTCTGTTAAAATGGTAATCCTACATCTACTAAACATCTGCCTAATTTGGTAAACTAAAATATTATAACCCCACATAAAGGTGCAAAATTAGGAAGCTATCTACTATACAGCTCTTTAATTTGGTACCTTTAAATATGGCAATCCCACATTAGAATACTGAATTGTAGACCTATTGTGTTTAGTAGATAGAAACCAAAATTAAGAATAGCCCTTTTTCTTACTTTTGCTATTTCAGTTGATTAGCAGATATGTATCTAATGTGGTACACTTAAAGGTCCACTCTAGGCACCCAGACCACTTCAGCTTAACCCCTTCAGGACGGAGTCAATAGTACACGTTCTGATCAAAACAAAACATAAACAAAAACTGGAATTTGCGCTATATGTCTGTTCACCCGTAATTCATCGCTGTCACATTAAGTGCACCCACACTTATTATATATCATTGTGTTCAGGAGAAACAGGGCTTTAATTTATCATTAATTATTCATAAATGGAACATCATTTATTATGAATAAAATTTTAAAACATTTAGAAAATAAGATTTTTTTTTAAATTTGTATTTCCGTCTGACATTTTAGCTGTTAATGTCATAATACTGTTAGGTATTACTGCACAAAAATGCACATATTTGTAATCAGTGATGTCTCACGAGTACAACAGTACCCCCCATTAACAGGATTTATGGTGTTTTGGAAAGTTCAAATATAGAACGTTCCATTTTCAAATTGAAATTTGCCAGATTAGTAATGTTACCTTTGAGACGGTGTGGTAGCCCAGGAATGAGAATTACCCCCATAATGGCATACCATTTGAAAAAGTAGACAACCCAAGGTATTGAACGTGGGGTA